AATGTGAAGTATTAAATTATTTTAAAATTTTTTTAATTATAACGAATGAAATATATTTATATTTATATATTACGATAATTTCATATTTTGCAGATTTTTAGTGAGTTTCCTAGTGGATGCACGCGGTGGTGCAATGAAGGGTTGCAGGCACAGCGGTGTTAGAATAATTGTGCCACCCCGTAGAGCAACGATGCCATTACGGGTGACATGTAGATTAGTCAAACCTAGTAAAGTAGCTAATCCACCACCTCTGATGGAAGGTGAAGCTTTGGCAACGCGAATCATTGAAATGGGTCCAGTTGGTGCAACATTTTTAGGGTAAAAAAAAACCTTCATAAAAATTTATATGAAATATATATTTATAGAAAAAAAAAAGAAAAACAAAGTAATTTTTCGAATAAATTATCTATAACAAATGCCAATGTTAACACGTTCCGTGGCAAGCCACTTTTGTTTGATTTTTCATTTGATATTTGGCCTATTAAATAAATATGATTGTATGTGTGTGTACCTTATCGGTGGGTAAACGTTAAATTTGATGTTCAGGCCACGTGTACCACCGGTGGTATACAGTGTGACACGGAACGTGTTAAATTCTTTAAATCCCTTGGTTTTTTTTTTTCCTTTTTTTTTGTCGTTTTGTTTTTCAGACCGGTATTAATCGACATACCACACTTCGCCTCGATTCGTGGAAAAGAAAGGGAAATAATAATATTGAGAAGTGAAAATGGTGAAACTTGGAAGGAACACGATAATTCGATCGATAACGATGATACTTTGCTTAATACACCACATGGTATATTTAATGTATTCAATATTATACAATTATTATATAAATACGTATATTAGAATTATATTATAATGATAATTATTATCAATAACAGATCCACAAATGAACGCAGCCCATTCTGGCAGAATAACACGAATAATAACGACCGATTTTCCACAATATTTTGCGATTGTTACTAGAATCAAACAAGAGGTACACGTAATAGGATCAGAGGGTGGAATATTAATGTCAAGTGTTGCAAACGATGTTCAAGCAGTATTTCCACCTGGTGCATTAACGAAAAAAATCAAAGTTGGATTGCAAGTAAGCAAAACAATTTATTTCTATATATATATATTGTATGTGTGTGATACTCCTATATATAAATATAATTCATTATATTAATCATAATACATATAAATATCAATGTTAACAAGTTCAATGTCAAGTAATTTTTACTAGACTTGTCGTTCAGGCCACTTGAAATTTAGTTGCATTAAATAAATATGAACGCGTGTACCACCGGTGGGACACGTGGCACGGAACGTTATATATATATATGTATAATTTACATTAGTGTTAGACAAATAAGATACTAGTGAAGCCACAAAAAGTTGGGGGGTAAGGGTGTGTGTGTGTGTGTGTGTGTGGAAAGAGGGCTATTAAATACAATACAAGTATTGACTTGTTAATATATAAGATTACCTTTTTGTAGGCACACGTCATCCCTGCAGAACTTACGGCAAAACTTTTAGGTAATTGCGTAGCAGTATCACCGGTAATTACAATTGAACCAAGAAGACGAAAGTTTCACAAGCCGATCACTTTGACTATACCGGTGCCACAAGCTGCGAACAAAGGAATGATTAATCAATATGGCGGAGAAACACCAACATTACGATTACTTTGCAGCATTGCTGGTACTCTACACGAAGATATTATATTAATATATAATATGAATAATTATTTTGTTTTTTTTTGTTTATTACAATTAATATTGGTAATGTGATAACAATTGTTTGGCCACATATCTTCATATATTAGTTTTTTTTTATGTTTTTTATGATATAATATTTTGTTGTTATG